AGAAGCACATGTAAAACAATGCTTAGTTAAAGCTTTTGTAAACAGAGATATTGGTCCTTCTGTAGATATGATACAATCTGCAATGTCTTATGTGATTTTTGGACCTGATCCTCACAATCTTTATGCAACGACTGGTTGTAAAAGATTAGAACAAAAGGTAGCTGCTATTATATATAGTGGAAGGAAAAAGAAAGAAAATAATGAATTATAGGATCATGAAGCACTATTTTTTCTTATGTTAACGTTTGAATAAGAACTAAATTTTATTGATTATTCTCATTGGCACAATCAGAAAATATGTGTAACAGTTAAAAAAATAGTACAATGAATTTGCTACTATAATGTGTGTAGCGATACTTGTGTATGTATTTGTATATATATATATATCTAAGGAATAGTTAAAATTTGCATTGTTAACAATACGGAATTACAGTATATACAATTGAGACTCCACAATTGACTTTAAAATATAATCATAAAGAAAGAAAGTCTGTCTCTTATACACATCTCTCCACAATTGACTTTAAAATATAATCATAAAGAAAGAAAGTCTGTCTCTTATACACATCTCTCCACAATTGACTTTAAAATATAATCATAAAGAAAGAAAGTCTGTCTCTTATACACATCTCTCCACAATTGACTTTAAAATATAATCATAAAGAAAGAAAGTCTGTCTCTTATACACATCTCTCCACAATTGACTTTAAAATATAATCATAAAGAAAGAAAGTCTGTCTCTTATACACATCTCTCCACAATTGACTTTAAAATATAATCATAAAGAAAGAAAGTCTGTCTCTTATACACATCTCTCCACAATTGACTTTAAAATATAATCATAAAGAAAGAAAGTCTGTCTCTTATACACATCTCTCCACAATTGACTTTAAAATATAATCATAAAGAAAGAAAGTCTGTCTCTTATACACATCTCTCCACAATTGACTTTAAAATATAATCATAAAGAAAGAAAGTCTGTCTCTTATACACATCTCTCCACAATTGACTTTAAAATATAATCATAAAGAAAGAAAGTCTGTCTCTTATACACATCTCTCCACAATTGACTTTAAAATATAATCATAAAGAAAGAAAGTCTGTCTCTTATACACATCTCTCCACAATTGACTTTAAAATATAATCATAAAGAAAGAAAGTCTGTCTCTTATACACATCTCTCCACAATTGACTTTAAAATATAATCATAAAGAAAGAAAGTCTGTCTCTTATACACATCTCTCCACAATTGACTTTAAAATATAATCATAAAGAAAGAAAGTCTGTCTCTTATACACATCTCTCCACAATTGACTTTAAAATATAATCATAAAGAAAGAAAGTCTGTCTCTTATACACATCTCTCCACAATTGACTTTAAAATATAATCATAAAGAAAGAAAGTCTGTCTCTTATACACATCTCTCCACAATTGACTTTAAAATATAATCATAAAGAAAGAAAGTCTGTCTCTTATACACATCTCTCCACAATTGACTTTAAAATATAATCATAAAGAAAGAAAGTCTGTCTCTTATACACATCTCTCCACAATTGACTTTAAAATATAATCATAAAGAAAGAAAGTCTGTCTCTTATACACATCTCTCCACAATTGACTTTAAAATATAATCATAAAGAAAGAAAGTCTGTCTCTTATACACATCTCTCCACAATTGACTTTAAAATATAATCATAAAGAAAGAAAGTCTGTCTCTTATACACATCTCTCCACAATTGACTTTAAAATATAATCATAAAGAAAGAAAGTCTGTCTCTTATACACATCTCTCCACAATTGACTTTAAAATATAATCATAAAGAAAGAAAGTCTGTCTCTTATACACATCTCTCCACAATTGACTTTAAAATATAATCATAAAGAAAGAAAGTCTGTCTCTTATACACATCTCTCCACAATTGACTTTAAAATATAATCATAAAGAAAGAAAGTCTGTCTCTTATACACATCTCTCCACAATTGACTTTAAAATATAATCATAAAGAAAGAAAGTCTGTCTCTTATACACATCTCTCCACAATTGACTTTAAAATATAATCATAAAGAAAGAAAGTCTGTCTCTTATACACATCTCTCCACAATTGACTTTAAAATATAATCATAAAGAAAGAAAGTCTGTCTCTTATACACATCTCTCCACAATTGACTTTAAAATATAATCATAAAGAAAGAAAGTCTGTCTCTTATACACATCTCTCCACAATTGACTTTAAAATATAATCATAAAGAAAGAAAGTCTGTCTCTTATACACATCTCTCCACAATTGACTTTAAAATATAATCATAAAGAAAGAAAGTCTGTCTCTTATACACATCTCTCCACAATTGACTTTAAAATATAATCATAAAGAAAGAAAGTCTGTCTCTTATACACATCTCTCCACAATTGACTTTAAAATATAATCATAAAGAAAGAAAGTCTGTCTCTTATACACATCTCTCCACAATTGACTTTAAAATATAATCATAAAGAAAGAAAGTCTGTCTCTTATACACATCTCTCCACAATTGACTTTAAAATATAATCATAAAGAAAGAAAGTCTGTCTCTTATACACATCTCTCCACAATTGACTTTAAAATATAATCATAAAGAAAGAAAGTCTGTCTCTTATACACATCTAGATGTGTATAAGAGACAGGTGATACGGTACAACCTTGAGTAAAGAGAACAATAAAATAAACTGCATTTTTTATAATGATACTGATGCATGAATGAATTTATCTCTATTTTATACAATGTAAAAATGTATTATATTATATTTATATATAGTTAATCTCTTTTTCTTTCGTTCTCTACTGAGGGATGTTTTAATAAACTTATGATTGCACGATGAAACGATTAATATGAAAAATATTTGAGAATCGTTCGTGCTATCATATTGAAAATACCTAAGTATTAAAATTTGTCATTATTCCTCTTCAACATATTCCTTTGGAAAAAATCCTATTTGATCTCCTATCTTTCCTTTCCACCATCCTTTGGCATCACCTTCTTTACTCAATACAACAACTCTACAACCTCGTCGTAGACTCAACTGATTACGTTCTCCTCCACGAAAATCGAATAGCGCCTTGGCCAGCACACGCCTATATGGCCACAATAAACGTTGATCTAATTTCTCAAAATTTTCCGACAACGATGCCCGTTCATAATATTCAACAAGTTCGACTACACTCTTAAAGAAGCGAGATTCGCTGAGATAGTACAAATCGGCTCCATCAACGTCACGTTTAAATACCCTTATGTGTTTCACTGCTCCATTTGCCCTGTAATATTAACATGTATATTAGAATCTTTTGTCGACTAACATGTACGAAACTCTTTTTCAATGTAAATCTTACTTGATACTAAGAGCATAATTCGTCTCGTGTTTCAAACGTGATTGTCCTGCTGGCCGCATTCTCAGCATATATGTACCGTCTTCGCGATGCTCTAATTTATTAGAAGCAGAGTCCCGGTCCATTTCATTCACAAACCATAATTTCATTGACAGAGCACGTTCGCATGGTAGAGGCGGTGGCGGTGGTGGTGGCAGCGGCACTAGCATGCATCGGCCTGATTGTGCAATGCACTGTTTGTGTACAGCAAAACGACACACTTCGCAGCGGTAGCCCTGAATCAATGGAAGATGCCATAACAATTATTTTGTTCATTAATTATTATCTGATGATTAGCTTGATTTACCATATCATCCATGTATGGATGATTTTTTTTACCTGAAATATGCGACCTTTCAAGAACTTTCCACACCGTTGACAACTAAGGGGTCGATCGAAAGTAGTAAGTTTAAACTTGTGGTTGGTGTTACGACAAGCAGATGGATTAACATTATCCATTGCGTCTTGGAACGCTTTCATCCACATCTGCTTTTGTTCTTCTGTTCTGGCAAACAAAGTATATGCTGTGTACTCTTGTTTGTGAACTAGCAACCACTGATAAGTCCGTCGTGTATCTTTGCCTAATGTTGGTCTTGCTGTAAGATCTTCCAATCTATAGTTATCTAGCCGTAAAGTCTCACGGAAACAGTATTGTTCTCCTCTACCTGCTTTGCAAATTAATACTACTTGTTCGAAGACGAACGCATAACGGGCCTTTACTCGTTGGTCACCATGAGCTTTTACCTGTAAAGTAATCAACATGTCGTTTACATTCTTTAATAAGCTTGTTGGGATAACACCTTAAGTTCTCCGTCTTTAAGCAAACGTCCAAAGTCCTTTAATTGTGCATCTTCCGGGACGTCCCAATCAATTATGGATGCCTGTATGTCCTTTATAATGTCCAATGTATCTGAGTCACGTTTTACTTCGTTAATATATTGAGCTATATCGACCATAACTTCTCTAGCTTTTCCAAGATAATGTCTGTCTTCCTGCCAATCGCTAGGAGTCTCCTCTACTAGTTTATCCAACAGTAAATGATACTTCAACACTCTTTGCATAGGAACAGAGAGTATATCCCGCAACTTGAATTTACCATTATTAGCTTCTTGTTGGCACCTCTGTAATTGGTATAAAATTAATTACTACATAGAGTAAAACATGTATCATATGGGTTGAACAAAAATGTTGGAACACTTACGATAACTACTTGATTAACTATTTCGTTTCGTGCACAAACTTCTTGCAATGTGTTTTGCGCGAGAGTAAGATTTGCGCAGTAATCACCATAGATGAGAAACTTTTCTCGCCAATCAAGGAAGACCTGAGCTAAAGCAACACCGCCTCTAGCTTTTCGGAGCTGACTATGAAAACCGGCATGAATTTCTGCGAGTTCCTTTATGCCGAAAAATATCCGTGTCGAATCTTCATGTCGCAATAATGATGAGAGCGGTCTAGCAAAATGCCTGAGCAAACTGTTAAGGACTTCCGAATAATTTCGCTCGGTTTCAACGAGTTCCTGGATCACATAATCGCTCTTTCCGGCTCCGGAGATTATACCATCCTATTTATAAGGAGAATGCATTAAAAAGGGATTCGTTCATAATAGAAATATATAGAATGCAGAGTACTATAAAGCGTAACAAGACCGATGATCGACATGAAATGGCTTACATAATTTTATAAGATCATTGAGATAAATAATATATATATATATATATTGATAGATAGCAAATAAATAAAATAAAAAAACTTTAACGACCTGTACAACAGATGGAGGAGGTGGCATGTGCAGACTACAAAGGTCCTTGTAGATTTCCTCGCTTTGAGCATGGCTGCAAAATGCTCCATATCCGTCTTCTTCACCGACTGGATCTTCATTGTCCCCTCCTCCACCTGCTTCATCACCTTCTCGCCTTCTAAACCTTCTGCGGCGACCTTCGTCCTCGCGGCTTTAGCATAAAAACATGAACGAACAGCCATGCACTATTCATGCACGAAACAAAAATACAATTTCTGGCAAACTTAAAACTAATTCTAACAAAGATACATTTTGTTGAGAACAAAAAACGTAGCTCAATACAAACTCTAGAGCAAATACTATACAGGCTGAATCACGTAAAATGTGATCAAATCTCTTGATCAAGGCTACTTTCAAGATTTTTTTAAGGTCACTGCTAAGATTTTAATACTAGCAGAAATATTTAAGTGTTTATTTTACGCGAATCATCCCCTACTGCTTGAAAACAGTGGTGCCAGTATCACTGTACTAATTTGTAAGTAGCTTGATGATAAATGAAAGTTCTACATAAAACGTATTTTATGTGCAAATGATCACAATTTCGATAGCAGATTACAGTGATGTTTGGTACTTTGGTTATGTAACACTATAATCTGTGAAATTACAAACGACAGATACCTTCTTCGCGGAAGGCCAGTCGTGTTGAGAATTACTCGAGAAGCAAAGTAATTCTTGATATACTTGGGATTCATCTACATCCATACCCTTAGGCTTTATGGTAAATGCTACCACTCTTGTTGGGGGGCTAAACCCATTGACAAAAGTTACTGTCGAGTTACAGTGTGCAACACATATATACATGTGCTTTTGTATATTACATAGGATACATTCGTTTATATTCTTAACATAATTTGCTTTAACCGATAGCATGTGTAAAATGCACAGTATTTTATAGACAGACGTAGACACTTACCCTGCTCCAGCACTTTGCAAATCTTTGTATATATCTTCTTGCGATCTATAGTGTCCTACGGTGAAACCGCTACAACAGAAGTGTATTGTATAATAAAACAATTCAATTTACAGCCAATACATTGTAAATTACAATTTACTCACGGAATATCTTTGCGTCTGAGACGAGGACAATTGGACAAAGCAGATAAAGTACATAGTACACGATGAAAGCCCGATAGGTCAAACAACATGGAAGGTTCGAAAAGTTCTGATTCAGACAGGCCAAAAATCGTTGAGCACGCGGACAGAAATACTTTGATATTCCTTAAACATAAGAATTGTGACATCTGTGGTTTCTGATTCACATCTTTCATATCTATGCAACCAGCATCCACTGTGTTCAAAAGATTGCATAGCAGTACACCATCCCTCAATGTATATGCTAAATCGAATGCAGTTGCTTCTGGCCAGTTGGCTTTGTGATCTGCTCTTAGAGCTCCGCATCTAGTCAACCATTTGGCACATTCGTGCCAGCCTCTTGCATTATCCGTATCACTGTCTATTCGATTCATCTTTACTTATGTCGCACACACAAAATATTAAAAGTTTAGGCTTACAATTGCTCTTCGACTTGCAATTGTGCATCAGATTATAGAGTCTTTATAACTGTGCTTCCAATAGCACTGAAAATCTATAGAAACATAAAAGTAGTTTTTATCTGATTTATCTAAACATATTAGTAGATATGATTATAAGTGAAAATAAAGGTGAAGACTATCTCTATAGAACACATTAGTGATAGCATTATCAAAAATCTATTATGATAAGATCCATTGTTGGTTTTCTATGATTAAGAGAAATAATAGTTTTAGACGCATACCTCCATTCGCCGGAGGATCTGCGAGCCGTTTCTGTGTTCTTTTGTCAGCGTTACGAATATACTGTAACAGGTCTTGCAATAGAAGAACTCATTATTGTGTTCCTTGTCGGTTCCTAGAGGTATCTCAATGGAATCCGTCGTGCCGCTTTCAAATGCTCTGTAGGCAGTGTCATCGCTAAGAAAGCATCTCGTTGAGCCACGGTTGTTAATATGCGTTTACTCCATCACACGATATGTCTTGTTTTCTCATTGTGATATTATGACATTCGGCTCACTGTGGCTTATGACCGCCATATTGCTGTTTCAATGCAGTCGATCATATCATAAATTTCGTTACCATCATTCACTTCGAATGTTCGACAATAGATGGGGCTATACGTCCCTTAAATGCAGCCAGTGGCATTCGAAATTACAAATTTAGAGTTAATCAAGATATTTCTAATGTTGCTATTATCTTTATTCTTGATGTCTTACCATAAGGTACAATGTAAAATCTGACAAGAATCATCTGTTCTAGAAATATAAAAATGGCGTCACTTGCGACAAGGGGCGCCGCTTGTGGCAGGATCTCGAAGTTTCTTTAAGGGTCCTTACAACGCCAATTAGTATATGGCAAAATCCTCAAACTGCTAGCCAAATCGTACCGTCAGAGAAAATTACACCGCGATATCGACGCCTCTCGTGGCGAAAACTTCTTTTAGAGCCTGTACAGCGCCAATTAATTGTTGGTAATTTTGTCTACTAGTTTCAGCGTCTTTCCGCTGCACGCAATGGCGCTATTATTACACAATATTTTCAGAAGCAAATGATTTGTGCCAGAATTTACATTATACTTTGTAAGAAACGTGGCACAAATCATTTGTCGTGTATATTTGCGTTAATATGTAAACTTTCTTTGCATGATATAGATGCAGGAGAGTGTTCTGAACAATTTTGTACCCTCGGAGTACTCTTCGGCCATTAAATTTCTCTGATAAAAAAGATTCAAATATACTAAAGATATATGACTCGTAATAAACATGACTATATGTACTGGCCGGTCAGCCAATGGGATGAATAAAGTAGAGTGACGTAAAAAGAGTGCTCGGTTTACGAACCTTGCATGTCGTTGGGAACAGTTAGTCCTGTGCTAGCGCAATGAACAGACTCTGACCAGCAGTGTCTCATATTATTTGTAAGAAATGTCGGTACGTATGTAACTTTAAACAACTTAAATAATTTTTTAACATCGATATTTGCGGTAAGCTTTGCTCGTGGTTACATTGCAATTGTTTTTAGCGAGCAGTAGATTTTTACTGGCTTGTTTGAAACATAGCCCGGGAAGAAAGGCAGGAAAATTTGAATTTGAATTTTATCCGATTTATTCGAGTAAATCAAGTATCGTTTCTATCTTATTTATTGTTGTACAATCGCGTGCAGTTTACAATGCAATGGAAATGAACGAATTCGTTCTACGTATCAGAGATAAACATCTGTCAAACAGTTAGATCAATTGCTTTTTAACAATCATTGTTCTAGCAGTAAGTATTACCTAAGCAATTGTTCTATAGCTATAGTGTGGCATCCGGTAGATAGAGTGTTAATCGTAAAAATTGTAATTTCTGTGCAGGAGGAAATGGTATTTAAGGTTTCCAAGATTTAACAGCTCGCATAAATGTACTTGATGCGACGATCGTCGGAGCCCAGTACTTAAAATCACAGCGTGACTTCACTTTATGAGTAATACTTGTGAATGACGCTTAACTGAATACATACTTTCTTCGTTATTTCAGTTCGCTATAACACGTGTTCTGCGTCACACGATCGCATGGCTGATCATCTGTAATGCTGTAAATGGCCGAGATCGTTTGCAATGTAGAGACGAAGCTAATTCGCCAGTCGACTGGTAGGTGTTTGCACAATTGTTATTCAATTTGATCAGTTCCATATATTGTTTCAACTGTTTCCTGGATCTGTTTGTGAGCCATCGATAATGCCTGAAATCGTTACGAGCGCTTTCGAAAATTACTAAACGATTTCTTAATAGCTTCGATAAATGAGCGCGCGAGAACGAGGACACGCGCCAACAAAATCTGTCCCCGACGTTCGATTTTCCAGGTACGTGTTGTACAAGTTACCGAAAACGTCGAGAAGCAGCAATCCCTTGATCAGAGAAGGCCTCGCATATTTGTTCGTAACGAACCGAAGCGTCGAAACCGGTTGGCGATTGTCCACAAGGTCCATTGGTTCGAACAACTCTATCCCTGGATTCACATTAGCGCCTCTTTACGATCGAGTGAGTCTACAGAAGAGACATTAATTAGTAGACTGCGGATCTTAATGCAAAATAAAAATGTGTTGCATCTGTTGCAAGAGAACAGGGGTAGCTCGGATGTTTCATTCTCCGTTTGATCAATTTAATCGATCGAATGTAGTATATCGACGGAATTAAATGTTTCTATGATCTTTATACTGTTTTAAATTACAGTTGTATTATCGTTTTTGTCATAAATCCATAAAATCCGCAATCTATTAATTAGTCATTTAGTAGCGAAACCTGACAGCGGATGCTTTGCGACAACCACATCCGGTCGCTCGTCCATTGTAAAAACGAATCCACATCCGATGGTTAACCCTTTCACCGCGCCGCGATGCACTTTGCACGTCGGTAATCTTCGATGTTCGGACTTATACGTCTTTCAACGTCACTTTGTGATTGTCTTGTGTGTACATTTTTTTAAGAGCTAATGAGCTTAATAAAAGCTAAATGAGTATATTGTATGAATATTAACCGGCAAGAGTCGGCACAGGTGGTCGCATACACATCGATTATACAGGATATATATACAGGAATTTTCTCCGAGGCACCATTAACGAGTTATTAACGAAAAACAGTGACCAATAATAGGCGAACTCAGCTGGCGCGAGGCGATCGAGCCAATGAGCGGAACTGGGCTTCGTGCGCTGGTTGGCTGGGCCGTCTCGCGTCAGCCATACTCGATTCTTATTGGTCACTGTTTTTCGTTAATAACTCGTTAACGGTGCCTCGGAGAACATTTTTGTAAAGGAAGAAGTTGCTTCAAATGGTCTGAGGAACCCGCCATTTCCAGAATACGAGACATTTTTGGGACACCTTGTACATAGTTAGCACTCGATACATCCGCCGACTATAGTCGAAATATATATAACGAAAAGGTTAACTACACGTTCGATCGTGTCGATTCTGTTCTCAAGAAGAATTTGATCCAAGAGCTCTCCGATGAAATTGACCGGACGTTCACGCTTGCAGGCAAACGAAAACAAAAGCTTGTGGACACTGTACAACGACAGCCCGCCGGATGCCCCGGCGATCATGAGATACGGCCACACGAAGGGCGTGGTGATCGCCGGCATCGACCAAGGCTTCTGGTTGATCCACAGCGTGCCCGGTTTCCCGCCGGTGCCAAAAGGTGGCAGATTAACGCGGCCTTCGAGAAGGAAAGACGTGACAATCGAAGGCAGATACGCTTATCCGGAAAGCGGAACGTTTTACGGGCAGAGTTTTCTCTGCGTGACGCTCGGCAGCGATCAGTTCGACATCGTCGGCAAGCAGCTGATGTACAACGAGATATCGGTCTACTCGAAAAACGTGCCCGAATCGCTGGGCGTGCGGTATCCGGTGTTGTGGAGCGCGACCAATCAGAAACGCGTCAAAACGGCCCCGTATAACAACAAAGCTAGCATAATATCTCTGGGCTCCACGAACTTCACCTCGTTCGCCAAAGGCAGCAAATGGCAGAAAGGTAAACCGGACAACGTTCCGTAGATGAAACGTTTTGGTTCGCGGTTGCGTAACGCGGTGCTGCTTTCAGATTTGTATGCCGACTTCGTTGCGCCGNCCAATAATAGGCGAACTCAGCTGGCGCGAGGCGATCGAGCCAATGAGCGGAACTGGGCTTCGTGCGCTGGTTGGCTGGGCCGTCTCGCGTCAGCCATACTCGATTCTTATTGGTCACTGTTTTTCGTTAATAACTCGTTAACGGTGCCTCGGAGAACATTTTTGTAAAGGAAGAAGTTGCTTCAAATGGTCTGAGGAACCCGCCATTTCCAGAATACGAGACATTTTTGGGACACCTTGTACATAGTTAGCACTCGATACATCCGCCGACTATAGTCGAAATATATATAACGAAAAGGTTAACTACACGTTCGATCGTGTCGATTCTGTTCTCAAGAAGAATTTGATCCAAGAGCTCTCCGATGAAATTGACCGGACGTTCACGCTTGCAGGCAAACGAAAACAAAAGCTTGTGGACACTGTACAACGACAGCCCGCCGGATGCCCCGGCGATCATGAGATACGGCCACACGAAGGGCGTGGTGATCGCCGGCATCGACCAAGGCTTCTGGTTGATCCACAGCGTGCCCGGTTTCCCGCCGGTGCCAAAAGGTGGCAGATTAACGCGGCCTTCGAGAAGGAAAGACGTGACAATCGAAGGCAGATACGCTTATCCGGAAAGCGGAACGTTTTACGGGCAGAGTTTTCTCTGCGTGACGCTCGGCAGCGATCAGTTCGACATCGTCGGCAAGCAGCTGATGTACAACGAGATATCGGTCTACTCGAAAAACGTGCCCGAATCGCTGGGCGTGCGGTATCCGGTGTTGTGGAGCGCGACCAATCAGAAACGCGTCAAAACGGCCCCGTATAACAACAAAGCTAGCATAATATCTCTGGGCTCCACGAACTTCACCTCGTTCGCCAAAGGCAGCAAATGGCAGAAAGGTAAACCGGACAACGTTCCGTAGATGAAACGTTTTGGTTCGCGGTTGCGTAACGCGGTGCTGCTTTCAGATTTGTATGCCGACTTCGTTGCGCCGCAATTGCAGACGGATCTGTACGTGGAATCCTGGCTGAACGGCCGGGGAAAGCTTCCCTCCAGTTGCTCCCGCAGAAAGTAGAGATCGATATTTGTTTTTTTAAACGTCGTCGACTGCCGTGAAATCGAGATAACCCGATTCATCCTTCCGTCGTGTTATTATAGAATCTACAACGTGAGATCGCTGACATTGGAGGCGGCGAACATCGAATTTTCGAGCAGCCGGGATCACTCGAAATGGGCCATAACGGTGACCAATAAAACGACCACTCACGTGACCTGCGTCGGCGACATCAACAGAGCGGTGAGCGGTGTGCGCGTCCATTCTCTTTGTTCCGCTTATTATCGCATACTCGAGAGATCTGTTTCTTCGCAGGACACGCAGTACACCAGAGGCGGCGGAACCGTGTGCTTCAAGCAGCCACAATTGTGGATCGACTTTCGGAACGCTATAAACGACGTGGAGCCTTGTCCTTCGTAAACAACGTTGTTTCCCGGACGGCCAATGCCGATCGAGCTCTAGAGTAGAATTCATTAACCTGTACGTCCCCGCGGGCGGCTAGTGCAATAAAATTACCGTAACCGAGAGCGTCGCGGGAACACGGGACACTCGTCGTTAACTGTAATTCACTGGGGCCTACAGAGATATTCGGGTCGGTGAAACGGCGAGAAATACGGCGAGCAGAGCGGCGGCACACACAGTTTATAATATTTCTCGCGAGAGCTTGTATATCATCGAACGTTGCGCGCGTGCTTATTGTTTTCGGTAAATTGCGAGAGACGATAGCGCGGATGGGCGCGCGGGCGTGCTGGTATATATGCATGCATCTAGATACGCGTTTGGCATTGTGCCCCGGTGCACTAATTCAGTTCTAACGGCGGCGGGCCTGTGCTGGCGCAAGAACCGAGACAACGACGCGAATTTATCGAATGTAACTCGGACGATTCGAATGGTTTTTCGTGCCGGGCTCTCTCTCTCGTCGATCCCGAGGCTTTTGCTTTCGCGACACCGGGCCGGCCCGGGGTACACAAGTAATAACCGTCCTATTAAAGGCAGTTTACTTGCAAGTGTATAAGGAAGAGGGCCCAGCCGGTTCTTTATTGCTACGGAATAAAGACGGACAGCCGGGGATCAGAAGCAGTTCTTAAATTGGATTTTATGAAAGGTAGTAGCAGCTCGGGGCAGGCTCGGAGTCGCGCGGCGCAGTTCCCGAGTTTCTTGTTTCGTCCTCCTCTTCCACGGCCGTTCCTTATTGTCTACCCAAGGAAATTGCAAAGTAGCTCGACGTGCCGTTAATGAAAGCCAAAAGCAAGGAAAAGAAAGAAAGCGAAAGGCTGCCGCCCGTGCCGCCGAGGTTTAGTGGCCGGAAAACACCGGGGAGGAGCGATTTGCTGCTTAATGAAAATTCCAAGAAATCGACTGAACCTCGGCTCGCTGTTTATCGCTGTTTCGAGTTCCGCCGTTCTTTTGATAGACTTTGTTTCAAAGATTTCCTACCGTCGGCCGGTCGGCCGCCCCGGAGAAAAAAGTTGTTTAAAATACTGCTTTCGCGAGAGAGGAGCCATTGCCATCGATTATCCTTCGCGTAATTACTCGACCTCGTTACAAGCGCTACATTAACCGTTCGAGTTTAAAATTTCCTCCTGTTCCGCCGGCGTTAGTTAACGCTCTATCCGCCGGAAGTCTATTAAGAGGACGTCTCCTTTGTTGGCTCGCGATTAAAATCTGCCCCGTCGGACGATTTACCGAGGAATCACGAGTCTTCGGAAACCGATCCAGAAAGATTCCGTGTCGTCGACGGAGGGGGGGGGGGAGGCCGGGGGATAAAACGGTTTAGACGAACAGATCGATAGGCGGGGAGAGTACACGAGGTTCGTGGGTGTTCATCGAGGCGTAAATCAGCGGCGCATGTTGCCAGAAGACAAAACAATGCCGAAAACGGGAAACAAGGGAGTCCGGTGAAGCATTCGGAAGCGGGCGCTTGGAAAAACAAGCTGGTCGCCGCCTAAAGGGGATTAAGAGGAGAGACGCGGCCAGCGAGTTCCACCAACCTGTTATCCACACGATATTCCGAACCTTGGGAGCTTAGGATCCTTCGATGCGAAAGTATTCTTCTGCAAGAAAGGCTTCCGGGCCGCTCCGAATTTCTTCGAGATGACTGTAACGCGTGAACGGGATCTCCTCCGTAAAGGACAGCTAGATCGTTCGAGGGCGGTCGATGGCGGCCGGGCAGGTCATAAATCAGTGCTCGTGGTAGCAGTAAGTTTTCATCGCGGAACGATCTCGTTGACGACAGGCGGCGGGCGACGGCGGTGGCGACCGCCACTGGAAAACATGCCTCTCGCTCGTCCCACTCTTATTTTCCGCTACTCCTCTCGCCAGGATTCGCTCGACCGAGAAGTTAAGCCCATTGATCACGCGCTCGATTACTCGGCCGGGGCTTGCCAGACACTCAGGGACAAGCATTCCCTTGCATTTGTCAGCCGAGCAGCGTTCCCAGCCGCGCGGCACTTCTCCTCGCCACTCTGCTCGTCGGTCTCCGTCGGCGAACAGACTCGTCAAAGAGTCGTTCTTTTTCCGAAACGGGGACACGGAACCAATCGTCCACGGATTCGCCGTCCACCCGTTCACAATTAGAACAACCGATTCCGAGCCCGCCTGACTGTTTCCGATGCTCGAACGCTCGCGACGACGACTCCCAAACGAGTCTTTCAACTTCCACCCACGCCCGGCCGTATCGGCTAATGACATTCGAGGCAAGCCTCTTCGAATTCCAATTCCCAAGGATCCCGTTTCTCTGTAGAACGTGCAACATGTTACGTAACAGCGAGAAACGCTCGCGAAACTTTCGCGATCGAATTAGCCGATAATTATCGAACGTCTTCCTTTCTCTGCTCTTTCTCTCTCTCTCTCTCTCTCTCTCTCTCTCTCACACACACACACACACACACCCTCTTTCCGGATCGGAGAAAATAACAGGATCCCGTCAATTGTCCCGCGTGGGACGAAATAACGAGACGGAATGGATATTAGCTCGTTCCGACTTAAGCCAATTCGATAATTGTTTGTTTCTTCTTGTTCGCTCCGAGCCCGTTTCACATCTTTTCTTCGTCGAACGAAGGCTATCCCCGACGGTGGAACACGATAAAGTAATTTCGTCCGCCTCGCTTTCAACCGACTTGTATGATCTCTCCCGGCGCCCCCGGTAAGCTTCGCCCGAACTTTCGGCATACGTTTAAAGTTACGGGACAGGGCTATTAAAGCGGAGAAGTATAAAGTTCGGCGGGAACGATTAATCGTTATATTCGTTGCCAGGAACCAGCGAGACGCCGACCCGTTTCTCTCACTTTTCACACCGTTCCGCGACACATCCTCCGTGCCCGGTTGCAAAGCGACGAGACGTTGTCGCCTCGTTCCCTCGATAATCTATACACGAAAACTCCTGTTTTATTCAATGCTCGACTTCCTGAATTTCGTACGGATCACCGGCCACGGCGAACTTCCCTTCCGTTCGAAAATTTAATGCGGCGCGCTTTCTTCGAACGTTACAAGAAAAATTCCCGAGTTATTTCGCCGTGAAAAAGGAAACTTCTGGCTTCTCCGGGAGGAGAGCGCGATACACGTGTCGTCGAGTTTAGAAATATTTTAGCTCGGACTTCTATCTTCCACGTTCCTTCCCGTCGTGAAAAATTTCCTTCTGCATTCCCGAATTCCTTACGATAAACTGTGGGGTGGGGGAGGGGGAGTTCGTCTATTATCGGACACGTAAGGTTTCCTCGGAATGAATAAGAAAAGACGATGTCGCGTTGTCGTTAAATTAACATTATTTGAACTAGAAAAAAAATAAACAAAATATAAGCAAAAAACTTTGATCTAAAATTTGTACGGAACGTTGACAATAGGGAGGAAAGATATGCTGTTCGAAATTAGGGGACGGTTAACTCATCAAAAAGTATTCCATTGACGAGAAATAATCTACTGAATACAAAAATATTCAAATGTAATTGATAGAGTACTTGCCGAAGTATATAACAACGACTCATATATATTTGTAGTTCGCATATCTCGAACATATACAGGGCGTCCCGAAATTATTGTATTTACTGGAACCGAGGGGTTCACGAGGTCATTTGAAGTAACTTTTTCCTAAGCGAAAAGGCGATCCGCGGCTTCGTTTACGAGTTATTAACGAAACAACAGTGACCAATGAGAGGCGAGATCAGCTGACGCGTGGCGGCCGAGCCAATGAACGGAATTGGGCTCCGTGAGCTCGTTGGCTCGGCCGCGTCGCGCCAGCCGAGCTCGCTTCTCATTGGTCAGCGTCTTTCGTTAATAACTCGTTAACGATGCCTCGGAGAACATTTTTGTAAAGGAGAAAGTTACTTCAAATGATCTCAGGAATCCCTCATTTCCCGGAAGTACCATAATTGTGGGACACCCTGTATATTGCTCCATAATTTACGTGATACATTTACTTGCAGTCGAACGCAACGATGAATTCACTTTATTCGCTACGTTTAAGCAGTCGACACGTTGTTTTGTATTTTACGATTTCGATTATATAATTATAGCTACTGCTCATGTATTAGGTATTGTCCGGTAATAGGCGAACTACCCCTATTTTGTGCACACGATGTTTCACGGTATCGCAAACGCGTGCTTCTGTCGCTAGAATCTTCATGGTGTCGCGTTTTTTTATTAGACGAACCGATAACTCGCTCGCGAATTGGATTGGCCCCGCGACGGGAGATTCTTTTCCGCTTTGTTCGCCTCGATTTCTTTCTGTTTCGTGCCGACGACGCGCCGGGAAGTCATCATATTCCCGACAGGAGGAGACGAAACGGGTGGAGGGGTCGGGAGACCCTAACAACGACGTGTCGCCGCCGATGAGAGAACGACTTTCGGGGGCCGAACCCGCTGCCGGAAACGTCGAAGCAGCGTTCCGAAATATTGTGATTCCGGTCACAACTTGACATCCTGCGGTACACGGAGCCGGATAAAGCCTGAAACGGAGGAACGTGCGAGTTCTGCGAGAAGTCGTCGCCCGAGTTTCGTGACCTGCCTCCTCGCCCGATCCTTTGCCGGCTCTTTTCTTTTTGTTCCGAGCCGGGGCGAAAGGGCTGTTACGGCTCCTCGAACAAGGAATATGGAATCGAAGGCGCGTCGAAACAACTGGACATAAAAACAGAACGGACGTGGCGATTTCTCCGAAGGAAGACAGAAGAGATTGTCGCGAGCCGAGGGTCGAGATTGACTGCGCCCAGACAATGCCGGCGTTACGGAATTGATTCTGCTCCTTGTTCTTGTTCTCTTCTTCCGCCAGAAGGAAAAGTTCCGACTAACGGTGCCAGCTTCCCTTCGGGAGTTTTATTACGCCGGAGACGCGCTTATCCCGGCCACAGATTCGCGCCAACATATCCTCCTGCTGTCGATAAGTCCGCGCCGCCACCAGAAAGCAGGAGACCACTGCGGAAAAAAAACAAGCGGAAATAACTGCGGGACACGTTTCGTCCATTTCCCTCTCTTATTCGTCGCTTTATGCAACAGTCGGCCAAATTTCATACGTATATACCGGGTGATTCGCTGAAGCTGTTACAAAGCAACATCTCCGTTATCGTTAACGAT